TGCTGGAAAAACCAACGCTGTGACTTCCTCAGAACTGTTTTTGTCTGTACTTTGCCATCCGTGGCTATACTTCCAGCCATGCTTTCCATAATTGTCTTGACTGAGTAATTATAGCCAGCTCTGTCGAAAAACAACTTTCTCCATTGCAAAACTCAGCTTTGCCTCACGAGGACAGAACTAGTTTTCGACCAGGCGGTCAAGACCTGGTTGGCTCTGGACTCCTGTGGTGGGCGTCTCATTCCTCCTTGGCATACCCATTTATAAAGGCAACTGCCACCATACTGTTTTGAAATCCTTGGAGGGATTATACAAAGTAGGTAGTTTTGGTTTTATATATTGTGACATGAGCCGCCGTGAAGTTCTTAAGCAGCGTTAAGATCAGTAATTGAATGTTAACTTCTACCAGGCAGCGTCCGTGAGATCTCACCCTTTGGCAAACTGGCTGCGTTTTCTTCCACTTTGCTGGGCAGTAGTTTCAAGTTGTGTGTGTGTTTTTTTCCTTCGGCCATACAAGTGCACTTACTTTCCAGCTTTCTTTTGATGCCTTTGGCGGAGTCCTTCGAGTCCATCCTGGTTTTGGCATCATGTAAACTGTGCGGTTCAGCGTGGCTCTTCACGCAGCATTTCCTTCGTGGTCCTTTGTTCCTCCGCTCATCATAACTAGCCGTTATGTCTCTTGTCAGTCAAGCGCATATATATCCTGCAAGAAGTACGATATTCGAACGCGCAACCTTTTGGTCACTTAATCTAATACTCTACCACTGATCCACACCTGGGATCGTGTATGACTGCCTGATGACGGCTAATAAACCAGAAATGGTCATTCTTATCGGTTCCCCTTTTATCATCATATACCAAAACTCGTTATGTAGCTGCCTGAGTGGACTCTAAAGTGAGCCCCAAGGTACAACGGGACGTACATATGCCTTAGCCAAATCGGCGAGTCCCACACTCATAATATTTTTCATCGAAATCAACGAAAATATGCCCGCAGCTCTATGTTAGAATGTTACATTCAATAACTCGAAGACGCGGATACGAATCTCGAGTGATCCACATCTGGGATTGTGCATGCCCGGCTAATGATGACTAATAAGCCAGAAACGGTCTTTTTTATCCCTCTTGTCTTTGTTGGCTCCATCTTATTATGTATACATACATGTTGGAAGGCGGACATCGCACTAAACATATGTGATCAAGCCGAAAAACCGAATTTCCGGTCTGCCCCATATTAAGCAGTACTTTCCGAAGTGAACCAGAACTGTAACCTTAACTAGAGAGTCTCGTTAAAGTCAAACGCTCTTAGCCTGACTGACTGAATGCTTCAACAATCTTGCTTCATTACCTTTGTCAACCACTTTCGCTGCATAATCCTCGCTTTTCCTTTCTGTACTCTTTGAAAGTGCTTCTGCCAGTCCAGTCATTGTGTTTGCGCACTTTCTGAAGGAGTATTATTAAAGGTTCACAACCGTTATGAGATTTTTCGTAGTCCAAATGTACTGCGAACGTTTTTCAGTTTGTCTGTCAGATCAGGTGAAAAATTAAATGCGTTCGGTAGACGATCAATAGGTATCGAAAAATTATACGTAAGATAAAGTACAGAATAAGACAGTTTGGCGCGTTTTTCCCAGAAAACCTAGCGCTTCTGGAAGTGTTGACTGATATATGTATTCACAGTACGCAAACGCACCATCTAACGGGTCCACGAAGATGATCCGGTTTGTGGTTTTCGCCCAAAAAGGCGTATATCCTCATGCCTTTGTTAGAAGCCCTTCATGGCTCAAGACCAACAATGAGTATATTTCATCAAAACCCTTAATTTGGCTCCCGAGGACATAACCAACACAATTCAAGGTCTGCAGTCTGACCCCATTTGATGGGGTGAAAAGGCCTCGTGCTCTGGGATGTCGTGCCTTCTGATAGAGGTTACTCAGGTGCGAGCAGCCAATTACATCAATTAGTGACTACAAG